GGTGGAACATGCACATTTAAGGAGAAAACTATCAGAAAGGTGGTTCCCTTAATATTTTGAGATTAAAAAGAGGTGAACTCACCCTGTCTGTCTGTTATAAAGGAAGAGCTCCAATTCCATTCTGTTTTTGTTGTGCTTACCTTAACAAAAGAAAGATCTGACACGCTCTAGTCCTAACCATCTTCAGAAGAAGGATGATTAGCCAGAAAGAGCAAATCCTCCTCCAGTGCAGTAAAGCTAGTGCAGTGTGCTGCTGAACAGGTGAAGGAAGTGGAGTCCAGTATGCTGGGCAGGGGAAGCATGGTTCCCCACCATCACCACCACCATCCAGCACAATTCCAAAAGCTCTGTTATAAACAGGTATGTTGGCAGAATTAGAGTTTTCCACATCTCAGTCCACAGATACTGCTGGAGAGGGTCCACAGATACTGTTTGAGAGGATTTTAGGAAGAGGCTTTTCTATCCCAGCCACACTTTGGAGTAGCGTGCTTGAGCAATGCTCAGTCTCTGGTGATAGGTTGGCTGTTAAGATTTGCAATAGGAGATGATTTTTTTTTTCTCCCCCCTCTGTCAGGAAAAGAAACATGAACAATTACATTAATTTATGGCTAAATTTTAAAGGCTGATCACTGACAAGTTTCTGACTACCAGGGAAGAATGAATGGGCTTATCTATACATGCATCATAGTATGTTGGGTTGCAGCAGAACTAAAACATCCTACTGCAAACAGCATCTCTTCCTGCATAAACCTTGTTTGTTGAACATAAGAAAATATAATGCTTCACTCAAAAAAAAGATGATTTACACAGACAGAACATGAGAAGGAAAAAGAAAAATGGAGGCTACCTAGCTTAAGTACAAAGACAATAATATGTTGTCTAAATTTCATTTTTTAATTGCGCTATTAATTTGTGCAACTGTAGAAATGCTTTTAGCATTTTTTGATTGAGACAGAGAAGTATGGTAAGTTTTCCCTTATAGCCAAGCTCCATTTCCTTAGCTGTTTGAGTATTTACAGAAATGTAATTTTACTGAAGTCTCAGGCCAACTGAAGGAACAAAAAGGTGGTTCTTAATTCACACTTCTGAAACATAGCATCACATTGCATCAATGGGAACAGAAACAAAAGTAATGATAACCTTTCACCCTGTACCTCTAATAGAAGACTTCACTGTGAAATCTTGGTTTTCCAACAGAAACATGATATTGTGCATTCAAAATATTATTTTCCCATTTTGTGCATTTGCTTTAGAAAAATACATCTCTTAATCTGCAGTTCAGATTCTGGTTATTTTCCAAGTAAATAACCAAGTATTTAGAAAGCAAAAGAGAACAATCTTTAAGACAGTATTAGAGTGAAAAGAAAAAAGGTGGTTGAGAAGTTTGAGGTAACCTGAGGCCTCACTCAGTGATAAATCTTCATTCAAAAGATATCCATTTTAGAACTATTTTCTTAAATAAGCTCTTTTTTGGTAACATTGTATGGCCGTCTTAACATTAGTAAAAATGCCACAATATTAGTGCCAGGTTAGATGTCTTCTTCTGTCTTAAGTCATACAAATGCTACTGTGTCTAGCTGACACATTTTCCTTGATTCTGTTTGGGGCAAGGGACAGCTGAGGTGATTCAAATAGCTTTAAAGCAGACATTTCATCGTTTTCCAGAGTTTTGGGTTGTAGTCCTTTCCAACTTCTGGTCTGTCCAGCATTTTGCTTAATTTCAAAGGTCTTCTGTTAGCAGAAGTTCGTTTTTTGCTGAGGTTTTTTTTTTCCCACTCAAATACAGGTTAATAATTTTTGGCCTGGGAAATTTCTGTCAGAGTTACATGATCATGAACTCGTAGTACCATTTTTTCAGATGGTGTGCAAATAATGTCTATAGTCACAATCTCTCAGTGGTTAGTGTAAACCGTGGTAGGTTGTGATTCACGTTAGGACTGTTCAGTAGTAACAGTTGTTTTCTGCAGAATTGCTGAAGTTAATTCTGATTGCCAGATAGAGAAAGCTTTCTCATTTTGCTTCAATAAGTAGACTTCAGACTTTTTCCAACACTTTTTTTTTTTTTTAATCTCGTACTGTGACAGGTGCAAACTCTCATTGTCAGGTGCAGCACAAATACATTACAACTGGTAACTGTATAAAACATAGCAATGAAATGGAGCTGGACCGGTATTCAGCAAGAACATCATTACATTTTCATGTATTGGACCTCCCTTTGCTAGTATCCAGCGCTAGTAAGGCCTAGGTAAGTGGAGAAAAAATACTAGAGAGAAAATGAGTGTCCATTTGACTGAAAAATGGTCTGTCTCCACCTGCTGGGTATGGTTTTACTATTGCTATTATTAGGACAAAAACAGGTCCTGAGTGCTCCACCATGTCAGTTTGTGTGTGTGTGTAGACATAAGGAGCAAATTAATTTATTTAATGGTTTTCACAGTACTTGAACAACATAAGTTAGAAATAATAAAGAAGCATGATTATCCATTCAGATCATTCAGTTACTCAAAACCAATCCCTGAAGTTGCTGTGACATAAAGCCTGACATTTTTGGCCCTTGGTGCAAGCCAGGGCTGCAAAAACTCCAGTGCTGTCCTGAAGATCAAGGCTATTCAAGGAGTGGAACACGGTGGCTCTGCCAGCTTCCTTGGTTTTGGCTGCCACCAATGACTCATGAAGCTTCTTCCATCTCAAAATCTTCCAGTTGTGGGTGGTAGCCTGTTGTCTGTTGTCTCTTAGTGAGAGCCTTTCTGTCAGCTTAAAAGAAATGTATGCAGCGGGAACTGGCCCGTTGTCTGAGGATTCTCTTTACAGGCACACCATGCAGGCCCAATCCTGAGATCTTTTTTTTTAGCTCTTTTTCCCTTATCACACATATCTACAGCGTCTTACCTAATTTTCCCTCTCAACATGTCCAAGTTCCATAACACTTTGTAATCCCAAAGATCTCTGTCTTTTCGGCCTTCATTAAATGCCTGAGATGATTAACCTGCTCCATACAAGCCTCTGACATGTGCTTTGAAGCAAATCCTGTATTTAACCCTCTCTGTTTATCAAATGGCCATCACTCCATCTGCACAGGTAATGCCTCCTGTGATGCTTATATAGCTTGGCTTTCTCACCCATTCAGCTTCTCTTGGCACAACTAACAGCACCTTCATTTCTCTATTCTGTTCTTCTCTGCAAAGCATTTACCCACTGTATTTTCCTCAGAACGACCTGCATCTGACACAGCCTAGCCAGAAAACAATGAGGTGTGTTAACTTAAATACAAATTTAAAATGTTAAAACATGTTATTTTCTACTCAAATGTTTAATGAAATGTTCAGGCTACAGTCTGAGCAACTATAGTCTTGGAATGTTGTTGCAATTCTTTTGTTTTCTGTTGAGAAAAATATTTTTTTCATGAACAACACAAGATACATACAACCAATGGAGTGTGTGTGTGTAGGAGTAAAAAATGAAAGAAAAATCTTCACAAACCACTGCTATTTCCAGCAACCTTGTCCAGATGAAATTAAAACCATTCAAAACACTGTTTCAGCATTCTTAAAGCATATGCTTAAATTGTTTTAATTTCATTAAACACTTTTGATTAGTAAAGCTGCAAGTTTTAATTTATATGATTTTTGTTCAGATAAGTTCAGGGTGAACCCAAATTAAACCTGTTGAATTTTCAAGGTATGTGAAAATACTAAATTTTCATTTCTCTAAACTAAAATACTTTTTTGAAAATCTGAAATTGCTGCTGCACCAAAGAGATGTTTTTGCCTGACTTTATTTTTTTCTTTTTATCTTCATTCTGTTGTTCTGATTTCTTTCTTTGATTGTGAAGAACTGTCTTTATTATTTGGGAAACTCCTCCACACTTATGACACTCATGACAATAGTGTCTTAGAAGAATAATTTTATAAAAATAATAAATGTGCTGGCATGCTTTGAATGTTTATCTTTCAAAAGCTTTTTAGTTCCAGTATGTTTTTGACACAACTCTCTTCATTGCATTTCTTAGCATCTGTGTACCCATGGCTGTATGTACTCTTCCTTTTTTCTGTGTTGTCATCAGATTCTTACCACTGTGGATTAGACAGTGTGATGTAGAGATGGTACTGATGTTACAGACATTTGCTTAATAATTTTTCTTTTATTTTTTTGGCACAGTAAGGCCTATGAACATGGCTGGAAGAGCTACATAACACCTATCAGATGCCTAACTGTTAGCTCAAGAAAAACTAAAAATAATCAACACCAAAACAACAACAACAAAAAAAACCCTCAGTACAAATTTCCTGTAATGCAATTTCAAGCGTAAGAGCCTGTTTCTTAATAGTCAATAACAGTTTAGCAATGTAGCTGTCACATTTTCAGTTAAAGAGAAACATCTGTCTACTGATAACCGAGGCATCGTTTGTCTATAGAAAATGAGTCCCAGTGCATTCTTACAAAATCAAACAAATTGCTTTTGAGGAGTTGCTGGTTGGGTGGTTTTAGCAAAATTAGCACCCATTAAGTTATTGGAGAGAGTACAAGCACAAAGCAGATGAGTTGAAGGTGACTTCTGTTCCATGCAGAACTCCTTGGAGCCACCTGGGTCTCACTCTCCACAAATCGAATAGACAGGGCAGGTGAACACATTCTTCCTGCTGTGCCTGTGTAGCCAAGGTGACGTAGAGACATGTAAAAAAAGGGAGTGCAAGTCACTGGATTGCAAGTTAAAAATAAAAATGGTAACAAGTGTTGATCGGAAGAGAGGAAGCTGTGTATTTTCTCATGGTGGTGGTGGTTTTAGGATTGCACAATGCCCTCATGTATAGTTGTGAGAGAGAGTTTGACCTTTACAGGCTGTAGGTCCTGGAGGCATAATGATGAACAAGATAGTGACTGTAAAGATGTTATAGAGTTGAATACCTCTGAGGATTCCCACAGAATACTCAAACAGAAATATCAGGACACTACACTGGGGTTTGCATTTTCCTTAATTTTCCTTAACTACTGACATTCAGATATTGATCAGTGGAATAAAGTTATTGAGCAGCTGGGAACACCCTGTCCAGAATTCATGAAGAAGCTGCAGCCGACAGTACGGAACTACGTTGAGAACAGACCCAAGTATGCTGGCCTCACATTCCCCAAACTTTTTCCAGACTCTCTCTTCCCAGCTGACTCGGAACACAACAAACTCAAAGGTATGTCTGACAAAGGGACATGGTTCACATGTCAACAGCTGCAATGCAGTGAGGGGTTTTTTTTCAATTTTTCTTCTCTTTAGTTGCTCTTCCTTTTAATGCAGTTAGTTGCAGAGACGAATGAGTGCATGAGTTTTCTTCAGCTGAGAGGCAGACTTTGGAAATTATTTTTGGAGACCCTGGTGCTTGGGCAGCCAAGGGAACATACTTTATCACTGATGTGTTGAACATATCCCCATGGTGTTCTGCGTGATGTTTCTGTACCACGAGAACTGAGGTGTTTCTTTGCTCTCATTCTTAAACTTGCAACACAACAGAACAGTAGAACTTCCACTGGAAGATCTCAGCACTTGCACTGTTTTGTTTTAGGTGAAAAATATCTGTTCAACCAGATTCCTGCCTCATAGCTCTACCTTTACTAGACAATATAAAGATATTAGCAACGTCAGTCAAAATGGGTCTTGATGTGTGGTTTAATATCTGCCACAGGTTGATTTCTTCTTTTGAAAATGTTGTGAGTCAGTTTGGATACGTGAAGTAGAGCACTAACTTAATTACAGTTCTGTAAAAATATAAGTTGCAGTGATTTTAATCATACATTGAAGTCTTGCTTTGCTTGAACAGGGCATTGACTTTTAATTGGAGTGAGTGATTAATGCGTGTTTAGTATAGAAAGAATTTCTCATCACAGCTCCGGAACCCCTGCGAACTTGTGTTCTGCACCACCTGAGTACTGGGGCTGCTTACTACAGTGGCATGTAATGGTTTTCAATTGCTTGAAATTTGCATGTCATTACATTACCCAGAATGCTTTTCCAATTAACAACTGTTTCATAGCAAGGTTGCTGTCTTGGCTCTGGGAGCAAAGTGAAAAGTCTGAGCAGATGCTTTTGGATATGTGGAATTTTATATTCCTACTACAATAACCTGAATAATGGAATTTTTGGGGGTTTGGAGGTAATGAATAGAAATGACTGTCAAACAGTACTGTTATCTCTTGGGTACAGGAAGCACATGAATTTGAGCATACTGAATGCCAGTTTTTAAGATATAGTCACAGAACAAGAAACAGCATGTTAAAAAAATTCTGCTTGTGCATCACTCTATCATCCGATGCCCTGCCTAGATATTTCACCATAACGTAATGCTAATGGTTTAACTTGATATTACTTTTACTCACCCATGTCTGATGAGATACCTAATAATATTTTTGCAAATACATCTCTTGACATTCTTTTTCCTTTCATTTTCTTTTTCACTTACACAGGAAATAATTTTGAGCATGAAAGAGCTTAGAACACTACATTGATGGTAATACTAGAAATATATGTTATTATAATTTTTTTACATGGGTTTAAATGGTATTATATTTGTTACAAACTCTAAACAATAGAAACAATTTGGGTAATAGAAGAATGAGCTTGTGGCCTGATAGGCACGATGGGCTATATTATCAGGTAAAATAAATCAATGTTGCAACATAAAACTCAGTGTATATATAAGGCTGTGCATTTTTGTAGTGAAGGATGATGATTTAACTGATTTAAACTTTATTATGTGGGACAAACAAGACTTAAGCAGTTCCAAGGCATTTCCATACTGTTATGAGTTGATCCCTGGCTACAGATTTGATATTATTGACTGGTATTACCTATGCCTTACTAAAATAGTTAATGCCTCCCAGCAGGCTAGGTGAAAAACTTTAAAACATACAGAAAAGTTTGGATGTTTTTCTGAGCCACCTTAAGAGTACTGGTAAGTTTCAGGCTTTGATTTAGTAATGCCATGATTTTAGACTTCATTACACAAGCTTTTGTTTTCTGATCCTGGCAATAATACAGATACCTCAAGCACATTTTTCTTGGGTATATTATTCAGGGCTCCATGTGGAATCTGCATACATGTAAAATCTCATCGAAGGTTGTTAGAGGACTTCTGGTAGTACAGCCCTCACGTTGGCACCTTCTGACCTAACACGATTGCTGGAGAACTGTTCCCCTGCAAGGGGCAGAAGTACATACAAACAGTCTCTAACAGGGTTGTGTTACTGTTACTTTCCTAACCCAATTAACCCTCCTCTGGAGGCAGTGATTGCTTTGTACTAATACTATGTTTATCTGGTTTCATTGTTCTAGCCAGCCAAGCCAGGGACCTTTTATCAAAGATGCTAGTCATTGATCCGGCCAAGCGAATATCAGTAGATGAAGCCTTACAGCATCCATACATTAATGTCTGGTATGACCCAGCAGAAGTGGAGGCGGTAAGTGAGGCGTGACTACTTACTTCAGGCTGCTAAATGCAGATATGATTCATAGATTCCTGCTGCTTTATAGCAGCTTGATAATGAGCATGCTATAAAGAAGCAATGTTGTGGCTGTGGTGGCTTTTGGATTTACATGAAATAAGATCTGTAGGGACAGGATATCTTTCTTTGTTAGATTAACTGACAAAAGATGGGAGAAGCAAAACCACCTCAAGCATGTGAAGCCAATTGCTGCTTTCTTCTAGACACCATGAAGAAACGATTTTGAATCCAGTAGCTCACCTGGTTTTTTCTACCTATATAATATCAGTCTGGCAAAAGATACTACTTTTCCCTCTAAACCTTTCCTTGTGAAAAACATCAATCATCACTTCCTGTGTTTATGTTCAAGGATCTATGTGGAAAGGAGGAGAATTAAACAAACCAATACAAAATCCTGAAGTCAGGATTCAGAAAAATCTTAGCAGGACATAAATTATTCCTTAAAATGGAGCAAGGGCTCATGTGTTTTCCCAGGCCACGGTTCAGTGTTCAGTATCATGCACATTGTGCAAAGAAAAATGGAATTTTTCTTATAATCCTATCACTCTCTAGACACCTCTCCATATAGCTCGATGAGGCTGGTGTCAAGAGGAATAAGTGCAATCTGTAAGCACTCCACTGACATGGTATAATAGGTATAGGTATAAATTCAGATGTTCTCTGTAGTGCTATGTATGAAATGTATGAAAACAGAGCTCAATATTTCAACAGGTTTAGAAATCTTAACGTAACCACAAGAGAAAATTAAGACCCTGAACCTTGCAAAAGTAAATCACTGCTGTTTAGCTATATGTTCCAATTCAGTGTGTGTTCTTGAAAGTGCAGTAAACTTCAAAAGTAAACATAATGCACAAAACCCCATCAAATTTCAAGTGCATAAGATTTTTGTAGAGTATGTTACTTAGGAGTACTTTATAGGAAATGGTTCTGCTACTTAGGGAGCCTTTAGTTTCTGTGTCCTGTTTAGTTTTCTTCAAGAAAGAAGATTATCGGTCTGAAGTGTAAACATTTGATACCCTGCAATATTTAACCCCCTGGCACATACATTTTAGTTTCACATCCCTCTTGAAGATTTCAGTCCATTGTTAGATAGTTTTGTTGCATTCCCATGCATTTCTTAACTCTGTTTTATGGAACTACTCTGATGTCAGAAGTTAGATCGGGGTCTCTCTTTACATGTCCTTTGCCTGTGGACTTAACCATGGAGAGCCACTTCTGATGCAGAACAGGAAGGGAATTTGGTACAGTGGATATTTTGATGTAATGATTTGCCCAATTTCCAAATGTATGCTCTTAGCTTTATTTCAGATGGAAGCAGAGGTTGAATTTTTGTCATAATGAGGTTGCCATTTTAGAAGGAAAAACTTGCCACACACACCTAGAATTACAGCTGATATTGAGCCTCATATTACTGTCCTCTTATGCAGACAGAGATCAGGGTTACAACTATGGCTGATAAGACAATGGTTTAATTTCTGATTGTACTACAGAGTCCTCACATGATCAAACCACATCCTTTCTCTGGATCATGACTGTAAAACAGGAGTAATAATTATTCATTTTGCCTGCCAGGTGAATTGGCTGGAATCTAATGAGCCCAGTAGCTCTCAAAAGCCTGCAGTAATTACATACTAATTCACTGAGGCATCTGTCTCTCACATGCACCTCCTATCACCGTAGATACCTGCACAAATGTGGTGCTGCACGCTACCAAATCACATTCCTTGCATTTCCACTACTGACTGCATTTCTTTGTTCAATGAATGACTACAGGTGTAAAGCAGTGGAAAACCAAACTGTCATTGCTCCCATAGCACCTCAAAGAACAAAGGACATCCTGTGAGGAAGGAACTGTGCCTTTAGATGTTCATCTTCAAATGCTCAGTGTTGTCCCAGTTATTTACAGTTTGCATCTTTGTTTGAATTGCATCTTTTTAGATAACCCTCTGTGCTCTTCACTCATCTGGTTCTTTGCAGTTACTGTGTAGTTAACATGAGCTGAACATCAGCGTCCCCTGCTGCTTTTCAGGTCTCAGCTTCAAAGTTCTCTTCCAAAACATGGTATATCTTGTCAGTAACATACTATAGAATCATACTAATATTTTTGTCCAGAGTATTTTGACATTTAAGTGCTATTGAATTCCTTTGACACCGATCACTCTATGGTTTAGAGATCCTTCTTCTCTTGGGATCACAGCAGGTTAAAAACCAGGAAGATTCAGGTTGTGTGCAGTGTCACCTAAACAGAAGAACATGGGATTAATAAATATTCACTGTATTTTATCAGACTGCTAGGAATTCTAAAAAGAGTCTGGCTTCACTTAACACTCTGTATTTTTACAATCTCATTTTCAGAGAGAAAGTTAAACTCGAGGACTTTCTTTTCACAATTACCAGTTTATTAAATTCTAAATTTCCATCTGTTCATGCTGACACACCTTCAGTGGCTAGCTGTGAATCATTTACTAATTATTTTCTGAAGCAAACTTAATTCAGCTGGATTTTCTCTGCCTCTTGATTCAGCTGTTGAAGTACAGTCAGTCCGTGTTTTTCATCAGCATCCTGATAATGGAGTAAGTTTCTCAAACAGATTCATGGGAAATTAGTGACTTTCTGTTCTTTCTCAGAAGAGTGTCCTGAGGTTCTGGGACTGCTATTCACTGGCAGTGCCTCTACAAGGATAAGTTACTGGTTCACTGGAGAGAAAGTTTTACTTGTACATCCATGTTACAACTTGCTACATCTGATTTAATGTTTGATGTCTGATTGGCTGTTAGTTCTTTACAAGACAGCACGGTGTGTGTATGTGATAAACTTGTTTGTTGGTAACACGAATGGTTTTGTGCTTCAAGCATGGAGTAACTTGTTTCCTCTTGGCTGTGTCCATCTTTGTGTGACCTCAGACCAGGGGAACCCACTGTAACATCCAGCATACGTTTTGGAGGGTCTTGTAACATTCTGTTGACATCTGATATCTTAAATGATTACAGTTTTGTGCAGTAGTTTGTTTACATTATGCTGTAAACCCCAGGCCCTGAATCATGCTAATTCCCTTGTCCTACTTCTGTGTTCCTTGTTGCAATTTTGTATTATTAAGGGTATTGGATAAAGAATTTAATTACTATCACAAGAGTCTTTGCATCTCTCTCAAATAAATTACTTCATCTTCTTCATTACAGTTGCAGAACAGTTAGGATCAAATTCAGTAAACATTTCCTAACACCACACATTAAGCATGTCGTGGGCAATGGGGAAATGACTGTTGTCTCGTGTATTTTTGTTAGATCTTGCCAACTTTGTAGCAGGGGTGGGAGTAGGTATTCATCTAAAAACGTCCAACGAATGAGCCTTTTGAGAGTAGGTACTTTTGCTGATTTATTTAATAATCCCACTCTCTAAACTGGTCTATACTGAACTAAGCCACAGAAGTTATAATAGGGAAATAGTATTTGAATGACATGTAAAAACCTAGAAATAGTTTCTGGCTCACTAATGTTACTTTAAAAAAAAAAAAAAAAAAAAAAACAAACAAAACCAAACCAACAAACAAAAAAAACCTACCAAAGAACAAAACAAACAAACAAACAAAACCTAAACAACCAAACCTCAGGGACATCAGCATGAAGAACAGATTTCAGTCTGATTCTTCCAGGTTGTATACATTTTAAGTTTCCCATTCCAACTTGAATGGAACAAGCAATCTTTCCCTGTCTTGGCAAGCTATTTTATTAATGTGTGCTATGAAACAACTGCACCAGCACATTCCATCAGTGGCTTTTCTAATGGATCTCTGGATCTAGCCCACTGAATTTTGGAATGTGGAAATGGAATTTACATCTGCCACTGCATCTCAGTTCTGCAGCTGAACCTGTTTCTTGATGTAAACCAGAAGATGATTCTAAATCAGAGCACAGTGTGGTGTGTAAATTCTCACACTACTGGTCTAGGTCTTTTTGTCCACACACTATGCTGCAGTTTGTGAAGCTTATAAAAATGTCTCAGAGGAAAGGTAGAGAAATGTGTACTGATCATTAACTGTTTTACTGAATGCAGTTAAGTTTGTCCCAGTGTGGGCTCAACTTTTTGTGCCCAGCTATCTTAGCTGTGTTTGGGAGCCAGCTTTTATAAATGAGGGACAAAAGCAAATGAAAATCTACAGTCTAAATAGTTTTTTCAAACCATTTAGCCCCATTTTTCCTTATGATTATTCATGTACAGATTTAGGTTCTGTGTTCATGATTGGAATAGGCTGACAAAAGGTTTACACAAATGTATATCAGCCTAAGGTGAGTCTACTACTATAAAGTTTCTGTTCTCAGTGTGTAAAAAGTTGCATTAAATTGTCTGTGTTCTGTGACTGGAATATTTCCAACCCAAGGAAGACGTGGTGATATTTTCCCTTTTCATGACAGTCTTGCAAACTTACAGAATAGTAAAGCAATGGAAAGAGTTGGTGTGGAGCACAGCAGCCATTCTTACTCAAACTCATATCCTTTGCAACATTGGTTCAACTCTTCTCTGTCTCTTAAAGGTATTGTCTCATATTTTGATCATAAGGAGACTGGGCTATTCTGGTGCTTTGCTGCTTCAGTTAGCTAATAAACCAGTTAATGGATTTTCCATTTGAGCTCTCTTGAGTATTCAGTTTTACTCCTGTTTTCTCTTTGCTTATTTCACATTGAAACTCCGAAGTGCTATTTTTACTATTCTGGCCATTTTTGAAGCATTTGTCCCCTGGTATCTTTACCCCAAGATGATCTTTCATTAAAACAGGTTTTAGGAAAGCATTTGTGTTTTGTTTTACACTAGAAATGCCACAGTTAATCAGCATCAGGTTTGGTCCTTTTTCTTCACCGTCTTTTTGTAGATTTTCCTTGAGGTAATCATGAGCCTTAGCAGTTTGCAATTGCTTGCATCTGCATTTTAAAAACATACTGTTTTGGAGTCTGTGAATT